ATATAACTGTGATTATAAACGGTTCTTTTTAATATAAGATTTTTGAGGATAGGTGTGATAGTGACTATAGATAGATTGTGACTATATAGGATAGATTTTTAATAATAAAGTGTTTTGAACATTCAACTGGTGTGACTATATAGTAGAATGTGACTATAACGGGAGTGACTATAGAGGAAGTTGACTGTAAGCAGAATCCTGGATAGATGGATTGTAACACTAGCAAAAATCTGTTGTTCAAATGTAAAATCAAAAATAATATTTAAAAATCTACTTTTTTTCTTTAAATAAATTTGTAGAATAGGCTAAAATATGTTTATAAGTTTATTTATAATTTTCAAATTTATATTTAATTTTAATTTATAAAAAATTTTATTATATTAAATCATGTGATTTATTCTACTTTAGACAATTTCCAAAAATGAAAATTTGTTATACAGATTACCAAAAAATAATAATTATTATTATATAATCTATATTTATCTGAATAAGGAACTAATGAGTGGACTTTATAGAATATAAATAAAGGTTTGTTTTTAAATAAAAATAAGTGAAAAATTTCAATTAGTAGGATTTTTTATTGTTTACTTTTCTGCTTTTATATAAAATAAATAAAAATATTTATATATATATATTGTTATACAATAAAATTTAGTTTTTTTTTAAAAAAAAAAAATATTTTTTTTAAACCATATTTTTTTTTTTAATCACAATACATTTGCTAGTTTATTAAGAGTTAAAAGTATAGAAATACATAAATATAGAAAACTATATAATAAGATCCTAATATAATTAACTAACGAACTACTTATCATATTAAAAAAATACCCACATATATACTATTAGGTGGAAATTATACTTAAAGAGTAAGACATATGTATATATAAATGATTTTTTTTAGCAAAAGTCTCTCTTTCTACATGAAGGATTCTACAGAACCTATTGTATCACAGTAAAAAAAGATTTTTCTTGTAATTAGGCCGTTCTAATAAACAATTATGTTTAACAAGAATCTTCTCTAAAAAAAAAGAGGGGGGTGGGGTCAAAAAAAAAATTACAGATTTTTTTTACAGTATTATTGAGCGTAAAAATTGAGGGGGGGAGTATTTATTATATTAATTTTTTTTACAATATTAAAAACTTTTAAAATAAGAGGGATTTTATATTTTTTTTTTAAATGTAAAAAAGTAACTATTCTTTATTTTATATTTTAGTATTATTTTCAATTATACACATTGCTTTTTTTTCATTTGAAGTTTACCTTTTGTAAAAAAAGTTACACCATTTTCTTGACAAACCTCGCATAAAGGATATACTATTCTAAATCGGGATAAAACTTCTGGTGATGGGTTGATAAGATTAT